GAGGAGCATAGAGAAACAGAGAGAAAGCAGGGCGGGATGAGACACAATTGGAAATAGAATGAACAGGCAGAAGGGATAAGAAGCTTTTTTCAAAGAGGTAAAGGGTAGAATATGGTTGGATAGGTGAGAGAAGGGTGCTGGAATTATCCAGAGAAACTATATAGTCTAATTACTCCTGAGAGAAATAGCTGAAAATGTCAGTAGGTGTAGAATTTACATTTACACAATGGACTCGTGATCGTTTAAGCAAGCTGGCGACCAGAGTTAATCAGGTCAGTGTTCTGGGGAAAAAAGAGAGAAAAGAGAAAGAAGAAGAAAAAAAGAAAGAGTAAAAAAGGGAAAAAAAAGAAAAAAAAGAAAGAAAGAAAAAAAAGAAAAAAAAAAAGGGAGGAGAGCACCTCTCAGGCAGGGATGGGCGTGGCGGGATCCAATGCCTCAGGCGGGAGCTCTGCCTTGGCGGTTGTGGGGAGGAGAGTGGCGGTGCTCCAGTCCCTTCTTGAAGCAAGCGCTGCACCTCGCTTTTTTGGGTGTGTAAACTCCCCGTACTGGGGGCGCAGCCGAAGTTGGTTGCACTCTTCAACCCAGGGCAGTTCCAATCTCCAAATCCCCATCCGCGCGCCCCGCTGAAGTTGCCTTAGACACAGCTTCCCAGGCAACCCCCTCGGGCAATTCCCTATAATTTATTGTATTATGGAAATCAAGACTGGGGCTTTATGTTTGTTAAAATAGGTATTATATTCTGTTTATATATCCCAAATAATTAATTTCTTTTTAAATTACATATATAAATTGTGTTTTTCCTATTATAGGGAACAGAGATTATGAGCAATTAATAGAGATCATTAATTTTTATTAAATTTCACTTTCCATTAATGTTAGTCATTTTAGGTAAGGTTTTTTTTTAAAGAGGTATCAAATAAATTTCTCATTTCTCTACTGTAGTAGGTCTAGTTATCTAATGGAAAAACAAAACAAAACATCTTTATATATCTAGAAGCTTCTTTAAGCCCTGGACTTGCCTTTTAGGGTAAAAGTCAGTTTACTACCATGTTCTGTATTAAGCTCCAAAGCCCAGGACCTAGACTGGAGCAAGATGGGAGTGATGGGCACTTGCTTCTGCTCACAAAAAAGGACACTTCTCCCTGAATGAGTGAAGTCTCATCATCCTTGGTTAGCTAGCCACCCTGACTGCTCTGTTCTCTCCGTAGGCTGAAATCAGAGTGTTAGCATACTAAGTCTTTGAGCTGAATGGAGATCATCTAGAATGTCAAATCCATGGCAACAGGAATTGTGTCTATTTTTGTTTTCTCCTAGGTTCCTAATGCCCAGGATACCAACTAGCTTTTGAGAAGTTAGTATTTTCTAAATGATCAATTAGTTACATTAACTAGTCTTACAATTCCTCTTTTTAAATGTTTATTTATTTTGAAAGAGAGAGAGCATGCACATGAGCAGAAGGGGCAGAGAGAGGGGAATGAGAGAATCCCAAGCAGGCTCTGTGCTGTCAGCATGGAGACCAACTCGGGGTTTGGATTCACGAACTGTGAGATCATGACCTGAGCCCAAACTTGGACGCTTATCCAGTTGAGCCACCCAGGCACCCCTTACAATTCCTCTTTTATGTTATAAAGAAACTGAGAGCCCATGACAGTGCTGGGACCAGAACTCAGTTTCCTGACTCTTGGTCCTGGGCTTTTTCCCTGACATCATGCTACCTTCCTAAATAAGCTAGCTTTGCCTTTGGCTTCTCTGAATCCTGTCCCTCTTCTATGAACTTTCTCAGTCTTCCTTTTAGCCTTGTTTGAACACATTTCTTTTGATTCAGTTCCAGGGGATCTGGAATTTAAAGGACTATATTTGATAAACCTAACATTTTCTTTTCACTTCTCATGAACCATGCTAATTAATTCACTTTCATTAATCTGTTTTCCCAAACATGTGTCTTTTCCTTACCAAAAGCTGTGAAGTAGATGCTAGACACATGTGCATATTAGTCATCATTCAAGGGGAACTTGCTTCTCTGATGTCACTGTGAGTTGTGTGAGGTCAAGCACTATCTTTTATCTTCTGGGAATGATAATATCCATCTGTTTCAAGTAGAGAGATGCTTTCCCTTTGTTGTATTTTTAGTAGTAGGATGAGCTTTCCACTATGCGATTCCTATATCTATACAGATGTCCTTTATGACCAACTGTTGCAATAACGATAATATCAGTACCTACCATTTGTGTTGGGCTTTACATTTTATTAGACATTCTCATATATAGTCCATTATCTCATTTGATTTTAGTAACAACTCCATGTAGTTAGCATTTCTATCCTCATTTTATAGATCACAAAACTCAGGCTGGAGCAGTGTTTTGCTCACGATTATCAGCTGGTAAACCGTGCAAGTAAAGCAGTCCCAGAGTTTGGACCACAGGTCTTGTGCTTTTTCAAGTAAACCTTAAGTTCCTCTTGTTTGTACTTATAAAACTTCATGCTAGGATTAGCCTATGGAATGCTCAAGTTTATGAATATTTTTCAAAATATGAATTACCTTTCAAGTTTGGTATTGGTGGGTTGCCTGGGAGCCAAGATCCTGAGTCATGACTGAAGTTTCTGCAACTTATTTTTCCTAGGGACAAAACACTTGCATTTACCCACTTTTTGGAATTGGATTTTCTAAACATGATTTAGCTCATGATGGTTGTGAGTGAGCCTGTTTTGTATTTTATCCAAGAAGACAAATCAGGAGGCAAATCTGTGCTCTTGAATCGATTCCTATGTAACTGCATCTTTCATAATTTGCATTCTCAGAGCTGCAGCTGTACCCACATGCACGTACACGTATGCACGTGTGTGTGTGCGCGCACGTACGTGTGGATATTACTAGCTTTCCTTTCTATTATGTAGTAGGATCTGTGGTGGTGCAGCCTAGAGGACATCTAAAAAGTTTCAAACAGTAACAAGTTTTCATTCAGCTCCTCATTATTAGTCCCATTCCCCGGATATGGTCATATTTTGCCATTTGCCATCTTTCTTCTAGTGATTATTTTCTCAACTCTATGGTTTTGCTTCTCTTTCTTGGTTTATAAACTTTGAACTATAACTTTTGAATACTATTCATCAAGGTTTGGGGATTATCTCAACCCCAAACCATTCCCCTCTCCTAAATTTGATTCATTTTATTTATTTGTCATTAATTTTATAACTTTAAGTAATATGTTTTCAACTTTTCTATTTTGAACCATGACTTCTGACAGTATATATAGAATCTGAGTTATGTAGAGGGAGAAATTAGTGTTTCATCTATCCTGTACTTTTCCCATATTCCAACTCATGTCCAACTTCAAATAACTTAAGGAGAAAATACATTTATTGGAAGAAAATGGCTGTCTCACAGAATCAGTGGGAAGGCTGCAAAGTCAAGACCAGAATGGGAACCAAGAGAACATAAATAGCTGAGAACACAACCAAATCACTCTACAGGGACTGATGCTGGCACCTTGCTCTCACATTTCAACTGTCAGCATTGTGTCTGTGACACTGCCCCACCTTTGTGAGTGTGTCTCTGTGAGTCACAGCTCCAAGATCCAAAGCCTCTGGTTGGCTGATTCTAAGTCATACACCTGCCCTAGTGGACAGGCCCTGGGTGAGGAAAACTCTGATTTCTTTTGATTTATGAAATATATATTTTTAAATTAAATGAAATAAAGTACTCAATAATTAGATTAAGCAGCAGAATTGATATGGCTGATGGTGAGTTAATGAAGATTTGTAATCTGAACTGGAAGTTCAGCTCAAAGAACTCTCTCAGAAAGTAGGAGGAAGCACTAAAAAGATGGAAAATCTAAAATAAGAGAAACGCTATATGGCACATTGAAATAATGGAATAATTATTGTGTGACTGGGGGTCTCAGAGGAGATGGGAAAAATGAGGGGAAGGAATTAAATAGTTGAAGAATTAATGACCAAGAATTGCCCTGACTTAAAGAAAGACAAAAAACCCCAAACAAACAAACAAACCTAGATTGAAAGACACAAAGGATGTCAAACAAAACAGATAAGGTGGGGGATCCTTCACACTTAAACACATTACAGAAGAATTTAAAAATATCAGAGAGGAAAGGATATCATAAGAATATCAAAGGAAAGTTCATAAAACTTTGAGGGAGAGCAGATCACAACTATGACACTTCTCAGTAGAATTCAGAAGAAAAAATTGCATTACATTCTATTTTAGTAAGTATTTTATTCTTATATTCAAATAACACCAAGAAGAAAAGTTGAGAAGTATTTTTCTGGCTGCTGTGCCTATTTTTGTATTGGTTATATACAGGGAGTCAATTATAAAAATGTCAGTAAAGGCTTCATGGGTTGATGATCATGAAGGTAGTGAGCAAATTCTGAAATGTTTTAGCAATCAAGGAAGATCTTGAAATTTTAAAGGATTTGGCAAGAATGTGAAATCACATTCATAACTGAATTAAAGGAGTCAATGTTGTATACAGCTGGAGATGATTCTAAGTACCTAGCACAAATAATTGCCAGTGCTACAAAATGTGATAGAGTGAAGTAATGGAAATTGGAGAAGTAGACAAAAAAAATTAGGCTTGTAGATTGAAGACAAAAGAAACTACCAGGGGCAGCTTACTCTCAAAGGGAAAGCCTTACCAACATATGGCTTTTAAGAAAAAATCTGAAAACATAGCTGAAGTGCTTTCCTTTAGTGGGAAGTAGTAGAGTGGCTTCAAGAACCTCTGCATTCTACACCACATTAAGTTACTGGCAAAATTGTGAATAAAGATTAGGTATTCGAGAAAATATTCATCCAGTGTTTTTAAAAGGTGTGTATTGTTAGATGAGACCTTCTCTGGTTCAGATTTTTAAGTTGTAATGAAGCTGATCTCTAGAAATTACTGCCCTCAAAGATTTGAAGGAAGAACAAACCTCAGTTTAAAGATTGTGAATTATATGACTGATGCCGAGTGCAAAGGCTGGCCGAGAGACCTTTTTCTAGGAATTTTTTTCTTTTGCATTTTTTTCTGTGTCATTCTTGCACAGGAGCCATGCTAATCTTTCTGTATTGTTTCAATTTTGGTATGTGTGCTGCCAAAGTGAGCACTCTTTTAGGATTTTTATCAGGATTGTTTTTATTTCAGTTGGTGCTCTGGTTACAAAGATGCATAAGTTTTCGGTAGTATAATTCAATGTTATTTTCCTCATAAACACTTTAATTTTTTTGTATATTATTTTATAGAGTTTGAAGTTTCATAAGAACACATATACCACTGAATAGCAGAAAAGGCTTTTTTGGTCATAAATTCATCATGAAGATTAAATGAATGAATATATGTGAAGTACATAGGAGAGTGCCTCGTGCATAGTAGTAACTATAAATATTTACCCTTAATATTATTATCAGACTAGTCTTTGGGAAAAAATTTTAAATATTTGCACTGGCAAGGAATAATTAGAGACACAGAAAATATTATAGAAATACCAGGTAAATAAGGTTTGGCAGTGCCTTTCTAAGTATGTGGGTACATCACCATCCCTTGTTCTTTCCTTTAACCCTGACTACATCTTTATAAATCTTTTGTTAAATTCTCTTAAATAATCTCTTTTTGCGTATTACTTCTTCTGACATATATATTAAAAAGTCATTTGTTTTTTGAAAGGACTTACAAGATAGAAAATCTTGTATATAGAAAATCCTAGGGAATTCATAAGTAATAAACAACTTCAGCAAGGTTACAAGATCAGTAATCAATTGACTATTGATTCAGAATACAAGATCGATAATGAATAAAAATCAGTTGTATATCTGTACACTTGTAATGAATATTTTGAAAATGAAATTAAGAAAACGTTCATTTATAGTTACATTAGAAACAATAAGATACATAGGAATGTTTTACTAGAAGTATAAGACTTACACACTGGAAACTTTAAAACATTCTGAAAGAAATTAAGGAGATCTAAATAAATGGAAAGGCATCTCATGTTAATGGATTATAATACTTAATATTGTTAATATGTCAGTACTCCCCAAATTGATCTACTGATCAATACCATCCCTGTTTGAATCCCAGTTGGCTTTTTTCCCCCTAGAAATTGATAAGCTTGTCCTAAAATTTATACAGTTATGCTGGAGACCCATAATAACCCAAAGAATTTTGGAAAAGAACAAACGGGGGTATTCACACTTCTTAATTTTAAAACAATTCGACAGTAAAAGAAGCCTTTTTGACAAAGGTTGCTGCAACACCTGGCTATGTACATAGAAAAGAATAAGTTGAATTTTATTTCACACAGGTTGAGATGAACTTATATTGAATATCGGGTAAAAGATAAAACAAGAAACAGACTCAACTATAGAGAACAAACTGATGGTTACCAGAAGGGAGGCGGGTCAGGGGATGGGTGACATAGGTGATGGGGATTAAAGATCACGCTTGTGCCAAGCCCTGGGTGTTGTAGGGAAGTGTTGAAGCACTATCTTGTACATCTGAAACTAATACTACACTGTATATTAACTAACTGGAATTTAAACAGAAACTTTAAGAAAAAGATAGGTATCAACAGTTCAGGTTTTCTTTCCTTTAATAAGGTTTTGTAATTCAGCACTTTGGATATTTCTATGGAACTAGAAAAAGAGCTGGAGGAACATCTGGTGTTCCATTTGATGAGCCCCAAAGCCCCTAGCTTTGTTCAGCTGGCTTTGGGTTTTCTCAGTATTTCCGTGAGAGCACTTACCAGTCCAGATCATTGCTTCTGAGATTCATGATCTAGATGTCCCTGGAGAGCTCTCACATCCTTTTCCTTTCTTTTGCTTTTTTGTCCTCAGCATCATGTGGGTACACTCAGATTCAGGAGCCACCTTCTGTCACACTTTATTATTACACCTTGCCACAAACACCCCCTGCCCACTCTCTCACCCCCTGATTATGACATTCTTGCTATGCGTTAGTCATGACATCTCTAGGAATGGAGGCGCCACCTCCCACAACCACCTTCCAGCTCCATTTACTGCTTTCCTGGCATTCCCAAGCAGTCTTAATTTTTTTTTAATGTTTATTTATTTTTGAAAAAGAGAGAAATAGAAGGAGAGCGTGTGCAGGGGAGGGGCAGAGAGAGGGAGACACAGAATCTGAAGCAGGCTCCAGGTTCTTACCTGCCAGCACAGAGCCAATGTGGGGCTTGAACTCACAAGCTGTGAGGTCATGACCTGGACCTAAGTTCGGAGGCTTAACCGACTGACCCACCCAGGCGCACCCCCAAGGAATCTTAGAGCCTGCTCAGGTTTGGGGTCATCTTTGCCAAGTGAATCTCAGTTTGTCCTCTGTTATTCCATGGGGCGCCTGCGTGGCTCAGTCCGCTGAGTGCCTGACTCTTGATTTTGGCTTAGGTTATGATCTCACAGTTTGAGATTGAGCCCTATGAGGGGCTCAGTGCTGACAAGGAGCCTGCTTGCGATTCTCTCTTCACTCTTTCTGCCCCTCCCCTGTGTTCTCTCTCTCTCTCTCTCTCAAAATAAGTAAACTTAAAAATGTTATCCCAGTATTACCAAATCAGTTTTATTTTTTCCCATAACATTTATCTGACATAATACACCTTTAAATTTCTGTAACTGCCTGTATCCTTAAGCTAGAACATATACTCCATGAAGACAAGGGTCTTTTTGTTTGTTTTCCTCCTGTCCTTCAGTGTTAAGATTGGTAGGTATTGTTGAGTGAATAGCTATGGGCACAAAAATGGAACCATAACATATATACTATGTTATAAGTTGATCTTTATACTTACAGTTTTCTTGTCATTATGCATTCTTCTACGAAACCATTTTCCTTTTTTATTTTTACAATTTTTTTTTAATTTGAGTATAGTTGACACATTGGTACATTAGTTACAGGTGTATGACATGCTATTTCAGCTTCTCTACATGTTATGATATGCTCACCAGAAGTATAGTGACAGTCTGTCACCATACAATGGTACTGCGATATCACTGATATTCCCTATGCTCTGCCTTTCCCCCCATGACTTATTTATTCCATAACTGGCAGCTTATACCTCCCACTCACCTTCACCCATTTTGACCATCCCTCTACCCCCTTCCCTCTGGCAACCTTCAGTTCTCTGTATTTATAGATTCTATTCTGCTTTTTCTACAACACCATTTTAATTTTTATTGTTAACATTTATTCATTCTTGAGAGAGAGAGAGACAGACAGAGCGTGAGTCAGGGACGGGCAGAGAGAGAAAGGGATAACAGAATCTGAAGCAGACTCCAGGCTCTGAGCTGTCTGCACAAAGCCAGACACGGGGCTCGAACCCATGAACCGTGAGATCATGCCCTGAGCCGAAGTTGGATGCTTAACTGACTGAGCCACGCAGGTGCCCCTCTACAACACATTTTAAATGATCAGATATATTATTGTTTATGATTACACTGCTTTTTTTTTTTTTTATAAGCCACAGTCTATGGCTGGACATTTTTATTACCACTGTCCCTCACCCTGTTTTTTGCTCTTTACAGTGCTACAGCAAACATCCTTGAAAAACTGTAAAAGTGGAAGCCTAAAAGCAGTGAATAAGCATAATTCTAAGGTTTCTCGTATGCACTGTCAAATTTTCATAAAGATGAATGTGTACATGTCCTTGCATCAGAGGTGGGGGTTCTAATTTTAAACAGGGTAGTCAGATAAGACTTCACCAAGAAAATAATATTTAAGCAAAGATTTTAGGAAGTAAGCCATGCATGCATCTGGGGAAAGTACAAAAATTTTGAGGCAAGTAAGTGTCTCATGTGCTCAAAGAAGAGCAAGAAGGCTGGTGTGGCTGGTGGAGAGGTGGGAGATTAGGTCAAAGGGCCAGTGAGATTTTTAGCGTCCTTCTAGATCATTGTGCAGACTTTGTCCTTTATTCTGAGATGGGAAGCCTTTAGAGAGTTTTTACCAGAGGCAAGTGATAAAAGTTTATTTACATTTTAAAAGATAATTTTGGCCATTGTATTGAGAATAGGTTGAGTTTAATAAGGATAAGGTAGCAGAAGGGAGATGAGTTAGGAGGATATTGCAATAATCTAGGCTTACCAGGGTGGTAGCAGTGGAGGCAGGGAGAAGTGGTAAGATCATGGAAATGCTTTGAAGTGGAACTGGCAAGACTTACCTATAGATTGGAAATGAGACAACAGAGAGAGGAATCAAAAGCAACTCCAGAACTGTTGGTCTGAGTAAATTGCAGGGTCATGAGATTGTCATCAGTTTATTTGATAGGGAAGACTGTGGGTGGGGCAGGTCAATCTTCAAAAAGACTTGGAGTTCAGTTTGGACATATTAAGTTTGAGATACAGATTAGATATCAAAATATAGCTGTTGGATAGGCAGCTGAATATATGAGACTGAAAGTCAAGGGAAAAGCCCACGCTAGAGATACACATTTGGGCATTGTTGGAGTATGTATGGTATAGATCACTTAGGAAGCGGGTGCGTAGAGATAGAAGAAGTCCAAGACTAAACTTGGGGAACTGTGATGTTACGTGATTGGAGAGAAGTGGTGGAATCAGTAAAGCAGACTGCTTCTCATTCAAAGCTATTTAACAAAACACATTAAGTTGAAATGATATTGCCAATCCCCTGTTGATATTCTAGTATGGTCATTCTAGTTATACCTATTTTGTGATTATATCTATCACTTTCTGGAATATAGAACTACAAAATTATGAAGCAGTTCCCAGAGTAGGCTTAGATTTACATCGGAATCCTGAAGACTTACTATATATAGTCCTCAAAGAATCTTTCACTAGGAGCTAAAATCAGTGATCATGGGAGAATCCATAAAACTTATGTTATCTCAATAGGAGCTTTTTGTCTTATGTGGGGAAAGAAGTAAGTGTAAGTATATAGGAAACATCTGTGTATTTAGAAATGTCGTTACGGGAAAACATAAAGGAAATGGCACAGGCTTTGGAGTCAGTTGATCAAGATTTGTATCTTTGGTCTGCTGTTTATTAACTATACAGTCTTGGAAAAGTTACTAGCTGTCTTTTTTCCAGAAACCTCAAGTAAGTGGGGGAATATGACTTTGAAGAGTTACAGGCAATGAATGCATATCAAAATGTCTAACACAGTGCCTGATGTATAGTAGATGTCCACACTATAATGGCTTATCTTCCTCCATTATTTTTATTAAGTTCATGCAAATGAACAAAGCAGATTTTGTTATGACACTCCCAGGTTCTAGTGTATGTTTTCAGGTTCCAGGTGAGGGTATGGCCCTGAAAATCTCCATAATGAGAAGTAGAGATATAAGAAAGAAATGAGAATTGGGTGACCCTGAAAGGCCCCTGTTTAAAACTGTATTCTTTTTTTTTTTTAATTTTTAATGTTTATTTAGTTTTGAGAGAGTGAGAGTGAGAGAGAGAGCGCAAGCCAGGGGAGGGGCAGAGAGGGAGGGAGAGACAGAATCTGAGGCAGGCTCCAGGCTCTGAGCTGTCAGCACAGAGCCTGACACGGTGCTCAAACCCACAGACCGTGAGATCATGACCTGAGTCAAAGTCAGATGTTTAACAAACTGAGCCACCCAGGCATCCCTAAAACTGTATTCTTATTTTGGAGTAACTTGCCTTTGTCCAAGGCAGAATGCAATCTAAAACCCTTTGGGGGACATAGCGGGTTGAGATCAGTGAAAAAACATTATTGAAAACCAGCTGGCACTTCCCTCAAGGGAAGAACACAGTACAACCTCAGATGTAGTAGTCAGGAGTGATGGGAGGAGTAGAGGGAAAGGGATCTGTGAAGTGCAGCTTGGCACCCAGAGAAGTCTTGATGGTTCATAGTCTTGATAGTTCAGTCCCCACACCCATGCTACTGGTCACTGTGCCTGGGCAACTCACTCTAATTAATGGAGTTGGAAATTTGTTAGAAAAAACCTACACTGAGGGGTTAATTGAATACTGATCAATATGATTTGTTTTTGTGTAAGTCATAGGCAGTGGGTGAAGAGCAAATATTTTGCCTGGGATATTGTTGCCTTGCCTTCAACACTTGAAGACTTGACTTCAGCTGGAGGAATTTTTTTTAAATGGATCTAACTTTGTTAAGTCTGGGTCTTGACCAGGTTGCCAATTTAAAAGACAGAGAGCATTGGGCTTTTTTTTTGTTTTGTTTTTTACATTTTCTTCTGATATTTCTTTTACTCATATTTGCGTTTCACAGAGTCAAGTGTCAGATGTATTTAGAGATATTTTGGGAGTCAGGTAGGATGGGTGGGAGATCTCAGGGAGCTTTGGGTGCCATTCTGATGGCTTTAGAGTTTATTTTCAGGGCAATTGGGAACCATTGAAGGTTTTTACATCCCAATATAGAAAGCAGTTCTTTTATTTTCTTTTTTTAAATGTTTATTTATTTATTTGAGAGAGAGAGAAAGAGAGAAAGCACACCCAAGGAAGGACAGAGAGAGAGGGAGAGAGAGAATCCTAAGCAGGTTCCATACTGTCACCACAGAGCCCAATGTGGGGCTTAATCTCATGAATGAGGAGATCATGACCTGACCTGAAATCAAGAGTTGGACGCTTAATCAGCTGAGCCATGCAGGCACCCCAGAAAGCAGTTCTTTCAGGGACTATGTTTTGAAAGTGGTATTAGTTTTCTATGGCTCCTATAATAAATTATCATGAACACCTGAAATCAACACAAATTTCTTATGTTACAGTGCTATAGGTCAGAAGTTGGACCAGTGTTAATAGGCTAAAATCAAAGTGTTGTCAAGGTCATGTTTCTTGTTGGGAAGAATCCATTTCCTTGCCCATTTTGGTTGTTAGAATTCAGTTCCTTGCAATTGTAGCACTGAAGTTACCATTTCTTTGCTACCTGGAAGCAGAAGTTCACTCTCAGTTTCTAGAGGCTGTTTCCATTTCTTGCCTGGCAACATCCTTCTTCCATTTTCAAAACCTGCAACGGCAGGTCAGGTTCTTCTCATGCTTTGAATCTCTGCTACCTTTTCTGTTGTCACATCTCTCTGCCCAAATATTGTCTTTGTCTTCTATTTTTAGTAACCCTTGTAACTGCATTGGCCCCACCCACATAATCCAGGATAATCTCCCCATCCTCAGGTCCATAAACATAATCACAGCTACAAAACTGACTTTTTCATATAAAAAACATATTTATGGGTTCTGGGGATTAGGGTGTGGGTGTTTTGGGGGAGCCATTGTTCTGCCTAACACAAAAGTCTTTAATGTATAGATTGTATTTTAAACGTACGGAATAGGAAATACTATCCAAGGATAGTGTGTGGTTGTTTCCTCAATCTACATCTGCTGGATGATTACTTTACCCATCCTTGTCCTGTATTCCCCAATCTCTTGGATATCCAGAATTCCTCAACCTTTTCCAGTTCCCCTGGAGTGCTCAGTTGTCACTTTACCAAGTCCTCAACCAGAGGACTGGTATCTGCTTTCTTGACCTTGTTAATCTCATGGTCTGTGACTAAGCCCAATTTCTGCCCCTCCTTCACCTCCTCTCAGCCATATCTGCCTCTGGAATCTTCCACTGCCCTGAGATTATACTCTTCTTGGATCTAGATGACTTCTTCACCTTGTTCTGGAGCTGCCAGGCTTCCTGTTGGACTTGATTTATGCTGTTGACCCTGTCCTGACATTCTCTTTGTTACTTCTTACGTATCTACTAACTCTCTCCCTGTGGCGTGCTGCAGTCAGTGCAGCAGAGAGAGGGAGCGTGGCCACTCTTAGGGGAGATTATTCCAGTACCCAGGGTCTTAGCCACAAGTAAAAGCTTCAAGCTCTTTGAATGATAAGAGAAGTAGCAGGAAAATAGAAGCCAAAATCTGTTGTGATGCCACAGACTCCTCTATAATTTTGAGGCTGAGAGCATTGGATTGAGGATATGACATTTGGAGGTTCCATTCCAGGCTCTGATGTCTGCCAGCTTTCAATAATGTTAAGTACTCTCTTTTAGTCTCACGTGGTACAATACTATAGGTCAATGAAGATGAAAGATAACCTCAGAGATTTAGTGCAAGCATTAAATGAGATAATGAGCGTAATCCTAGTACTGTGTGATGAGCGTTTATGTCATGTTTTGTCCTTGGTTCTTCACATCATTATGGGATATGGGCAGAGACACAACCAAGAAAACATAGGATACTTGTGTAATTCATTTCTGTTTGGAGATTTTTATTTTGAGTTTGGAGAAAGTAGTAGCTTATATAGTCAATGACTAGAGCCAGTGGGATGCAGAGAGAGTAGTAGGGTGTCATTTATCTTTAGTGACACGCTCAATCCAGGAGGTATATTTGTGAACATTGGTGTAGATTCCGACATCCCCTCCCATGAAGTGTCCGACCTCAATCCCCTGGAGCTTGTTTTTGCAGATGACAGTAGCAACGGCCACCTCCTACCAGAGAGCATGCAGAGAGAGGGAGACAGAGAGAGAGAAATGATCAGGTCTTCTCACGGGAGCCCTCTAGCCCCCAACTTGGATGAGCCCTGCCCAGAGATAGCATGATAGGTCATGAAAACAGCACCAAATTGGAAGACAGGAAGCTGGAGTCATTTATCTAGCTTCACTGTAACTAGCTTTTTTTCATCTTGAGAAAGTCAGAGAAAAACGTCTCTAGAACTCACATGTAAAATGAGTCAAACCCCATTTATTTGGACTGGTGAAGCCAGTTTCCCTTGTGAAAAGTTTGAATTTTTTTTAAAGCAATGCCTGTTTTTATTTGCAGCTATGAGAAGAGTAAATCTAACAAAGTGTTTGTTATTAGCTACAGGTACTGCCTGACGCCCTTTAATCGATAAAGACATGTTTAAGGAGGGCCTTTACTGAAGAAACAATGTGGGCTTTGCTGCAGCCTTATCAAATTCTCAAAGAATTGTGAGGATGAGGGCTTTCTAATTTTCTAATCAATGTCATGCTTAGTTAAGTGGACACATGCAAACAAATGAAAGCTGAAGAGAGAGAAAAGATTACCCCAAAAATTCGGCTGAACACTTTTACAAATTTCACGCATAAGGAGTTCCTGTGGCTCTTCCCTTGCTCTGTTTTCTGGCACTCCTTATCAGACATCACAGGGGCCTCCAGGTTCTGCCTTAAATCAGGGTGTCTTCCTGAGGGAAGACAGGATAAAAGAAGGCTTATTGCTCACAATTGTTATTTAGTTGCCCCCCCCGCCCCCCTTACCGCCCTCTGTTTCAACTGGTGTTTTGTGTGTATGTCTGAAGAAAAAGGGCTGAGAAAAGGGAAGGACCTGTGTATGGTTATGAGAGTTAATCCAGAGGATTGAAAAATAGCCTGCATGTCCCTTTAAGAAGCGGTTTTCTCTTCATTGTGTCTGGTCTTGGAGAAATATGGGGGTGACCTGACTCAAGTCCTCAGAGGTATCCCCTGTGTGCAAAATGAGCCTGTATACAGGGGGGAGCACAGCCTCTCCAGTGTGAATCATGCCCCTGGCAGTGAGGAGTGATGTGGCCTGTGTGCAGTCAGATGGCCTGGTGCTTCCAGCTGCTGGAGCCTGGAAGAGGTAGTGCTGTGTCATCCCTGGGAAGGGAGGAGCTTTGGACTTCAGGATGGGTCTCTCTCTTTGGGATGGATCCCTCACAGTCTCTGTCCATTCTCCTCTTCTCTCTTCTTGGCTATGTGGACATGGGTAACTGATGGCCCTGATTTACTCTGGAAGGTACACTCACCATTGTTGTCTTGGCTCCAGTCCAAACCTGAGAGCAGACAGACAGTGCCTGGCCGGACGTTGCTGGTGGCTAGGGGGAGTGGCTGGACTTTGTTGTTGAGGTTGGCAGGCTTAGCCAGCTTAATGAGCATGAGGTCATCCTGGGGGGCGCTATGGCTGTAGTTCCAGTAGCGGATAATCTGAATGGGGTTAATTGTCTGCTCTGTGCCATCTCTCACTCGGACCCTGAAATTTCCCAGCATCACTTTCAGGTTTCTGGAGGGAGAAGAGGTTGGAGGTAATCATTGTCACCATCACCATCATCGTCATCATCATCGTCATCATCATCAAAGATATTAAATGCTATAATGTGTCAGGTACTATGCCAATTGCTCTATCTGGATTCTGGATTACCTCACTTACTACTCACAATAAAACTATGAAGTGTATTCTATCTTTAATCCATTTTACAGATGAAGTAATGGAGCCACATAGCAGTAGTCCCCCAGTCACATAGTAGGTGGTGGAGACTTAACCGCTGTGTTTTCATGTAGCACCCTTAATGTAGTAGAGAGGAAAAATCATGCATGGCATAGAAATAATATTTTCCCTCCACTACAGCCCTGGCCTCTCAAACTGGGAATTTCCATTCTGTTCAAGGTAAGAGAATGGGATGACCTGAGTGGTGGAGATCCATTTGTTTCATTAGACCCATTTGCAACCCTATTTCATCCTGCTATCTACCTTTGGAAGGTGATATATATGGATTAAGCCAGTGAGTTCTCCTGTCCTCTGCTCTCTGGTTGGGCTTGGGTTGAGAGCAAGCACCAGGAAGTAGGTAGAGGAGAGTGCGGTTGGAGTATGTACCCTCCCAGCTCCCTTCCTGCAGGGCTGCTCCAGCTTCTACCAGGCAATCCCTGCACACAGCGCTTCCTCTCTTCCTCTCTCTCTCCCCCCTATCCTCCCTGCTCCCCTCCTTCTAACCATTCTCTCCTCTTGCCCCTCTAGGTCTAGGGGTAGTAACTGTATCCTTCTAATACTAATACATAATCTAATACTAATGCCCCCAGGATTAGTATTAGATTATGAACTATTCTTTGTGCTTTCCCTATAACTTGTTCATACCTTTGTCGTTACTCATTTTTAAGATTCTCCTCAATTTGTCCAGTTTGCGTGTACCCTCAGTTACTTGCCAGTCCCTTAATTGATAAAACCCATTTTATCTTGTCAGTAAAAAACTTGAAAAAAACTGGGGAGACTGAGGAGGCACAGTGTATGGAACAGGTTTCCTCCCCAGCAGGGCTGGGTAATTGTTGTGGGGGTGCACATTGTAGGATGTTTAGTAGCATCCTTGCCGTGAGTCCTATTCGCTAGATAGATGCCAGTAGCACAGCACCCCCTCAGTCCGCTGTGACAACTGAAAATATCTTCCGACTTTGCTAAAGGTACCCTGGAAGGAAAAGCTGCCTCCCTTTGAGAACCACTCATGTAGAATGAGTCAGCCTTTTACAGGGGGTGGGAGTGAGGGTTCCCAACACTCACGGTAAGTAGCAGTGAGCTGGAGCCAGCACCCAGTTGTTTTTGATGAGGACACCCACACAGGGGTTGAAGTGAGACTTGAGGTATACCAGATACGGAGCATGGTCTTCTGTCTGCACAGATGAGTGAGCAGAGAAAACTGTCCCTGAGAAAATAATCAGTATTCTTAATATATAAAATATTCTTAATATAGAAGACATGTCTTAGGACAAAGAAGACAGTTAAAAGTTTCCTACTTGAAAAAGAATATGGATAGTTTTATTTATTTATTTATTTATTTATTTATTTATTTGTCTGTTTATCTATTTATCATTATTTTAATGTTTATTTATTTTTGAGAGACAGAAAGAACCAGAGTACGAGCAGGGAGGGAGAGAGAGGGAGATACAGAATCTGAAGCAGGCTCCAGGCTTTGAGCTGTTAACCCAGAGCCCACCATGGGGCTTGAACTCATGAGCTGTGAGATCGTGACCTGAGCCAAAGTCAGACACTTAACTGACTGAGCCATCCCGGCACCCCATAATATAGATAATTTTAAAGAAATAATTGATTGGCCAGGAAATGTAAAAATGTTTGACCCTCTTTTTCTAATAAAATGTAAATTAAAATGATATAACATTTTATCTGATACTTATAATAATAATTTTTGGTTTAATGTTGATAATATTGAATCTAAGAAAGTACAATGAAAAGAGACTCTTTCACTACATGTAGCAATGTGAATTGATTCTGTCTTTTTGAAAAGCAATTTAGAAATAGGCATCAAAAGTGTAAGTAGTTCATCACCTGTGACTTAATAATTCCAACCCTAAGAAACCATTCTAAAATAATCAGATATAGACAAATATTATGAATGTGTGCTCATTTCAGCACTATTTATGATAGCTAAGCAATGGGAATATAAGTGTCCAATAGAGTAATGTAGGGCATTGAAATAAAAAAGTACATCAACATATGGAAATATTAAAATTATATTTAAAAAGAATATGAAACAGCAAAGGAAATATTGATAACTTTTCTTTAAGTTAAAAACAACAATGAAATTTATATAATCTAGCAATCCAGTTGTCTAAAAACAAGCAAAGAAACCAAAAGATAAACCGTTTGAATGAAAAATAAATAAATAAAGCCTGAGAATAAACTGAAGTGTTAGCATGTATTGACTGTGAGGTGAGAGTATGAACAATGTTTATTTTTTCCTACTTTTTAATATTTCTAAGTTTTTAATATTAACATATAATATTTTTAAAATGAATAATTAAAGAAAAACACCTAAGGAAGGGAGGAAGGCTGCTATCAGAAATAAAGTACTTTTCTTGTCTCGGTTGATCCATTTATCCTTCCCAAGCCTTGGCCTCTACCTCCCTACACCCTTTTATGATCACACAGTTAGAAATCCCAAGGGAACTTAAAGGAGGACCATGGGGGAGAAGAAGGGGAAAAATAGTGGGGGAGAGGGAGGGAGGCAAACCATGAGAGACTCTTGAATGCCGAGAAAAAACTGAGGGCAGATGGGGTGGGGGGACGGGGGANNGGGGGAGGGCACTTGTGGGGATGAGCACTGGGTGTTATATGGAAACCAAGTTGACAATAAACTATTAAAAAAAAAAAAAGAAATCCCAAGGGAAAAAGGACAGAAGGCACTGAGGCATTGAGCTCTTGTCCTAAGTGCTTTACATGGATTTATTCAACACTTTCAAAACATCTCTATAGTGTAGGTAGTAATATTCCCATTTTGATGTAAGAAACTGAAGCATGGATAGTCCATACTCACATGGCTAATAGTGATGCAACATAGGCAGTCAGGAGGTAGTGGGAGATGCCTCACCAGCACATTCTGCCATCAGAAGGACTCATGGAAATCAGGGAGTGCAGGAGGTAGGGCCCTTGCATTTGATCTTTAGTTTCTACCTTATTCACTGCCTGCTTACTGAGTCTAGAAGTTTTTGGAATGGGGGGCTATCAGGCTTCAAAATGTGTTTTTTATCCCTGTGACCACACTGGGCCTTGCCTAGTGGGTGATGAGGTCCACATTTTGGAATCACCAGGAGGGAATGCTCACTGTTGAGCATTCTCCAAGGCAAGTGAGCACCATCACTCATTCCATAGCTTAGAGCTCAGCTTCCTGAGAGCCTTTGGGTGTGGTCTGGGAGGGAAGATACCTACTTCTGTCCTTGACCGTTTTTCTTAGACCCTTCTTTTGTACCCTCTACACTCTCCAGCCTGCCTTCCTCCAGCCTACATTAACCTGTGCCTTATAGGACAGAGTAGAAGGTCGTGGATACATACCAGCAAGGACACCCATATAGAAGATAAATTGCATAGCAGTCCAGATCTTTCCCCGCGAGATGCAGAAGATCAGCAGAGTATAGAACTCTCAGGACAGTGTTCTCCTCAGGAACACCTGGTAGAATCAATAGATAGGGTTAGGCGTGAGGACACAAAATGGGATTGGAAAGCATCTCTGGGCATAAACAGAGGGAGGGGGAGAAGGCTCCAGGTAGATGAAGTTCCTTCTGCTCCAGGGAGGATGAGGGATAGAAGACTGTGCCTCTCTTGGGTCTTTCAAGGAAGGAAAAAGAAGCCTCTTTCTTAGACTTCCAGATCCATATTCCCTCTCCCTGCTATCCCTGAAAGTCCATCTGCCCAAGTCAGCTGTCTATGGGAAAGGGGGCTCTGGCTTGGGACTTATCTTCCTCATGGAGTTTCTGAGGCCAGGGCTGTGAGGGACAAGATGCTTCACCTTAGCTCAGGTAGACAGTGTCCCCAGGTTTGCTCTGAACCCCCTAAACAAATACTTTCTCTTAGCCCCTCCCATCTTTATTACACTGGCTTCACCTTTCCCTGACCACTATTTCATCACTCAGTCATCATCACCACTAGGTCTGGTGGTCCTGATCACCAGCTTTGAGCTGAGGAAATGTGGAAATGAAAAGCACTCATAAAACAGTTTTTTTTTTTTGACAGTTGGAGAATGGTTTACACTCTGGATTATATTAAATTTAGGATTTGCTGTGTATTGGTGACAGTTCACAAGGCAGGACCTGTTGGTGCTTTTTACCCAATGAAAATATTTCTCAGGCAATAATAAATGGCTAGGGTCATCCTCAGCTAATTCGGAGACACTCTAACAAGAACAGTTTCACGAATAGCAACACTTACTGAACACTTACTGAATCTGAGGCACTGAGCTAGGTTCTTTACTTCTTTTTGGATATTATCCCTGGGATTTTGTATCAGGTCAGTCAGAGATTCCTAAAATTATTATACTTTGTACCACTCTAATCCTTCAGAGTTTGTTAAACCCATAATCTTACTCCAGTGGCACAAGAACTGTGCAAAGAGGAGACAGGGCTTTATTCTTGATCTGGAGGTAGCAGAATCGAAATAGAACTTAAGTAATTTTCTCAAAATTGCACATGATTAGAAAGACTAGAAGTAGAATCCCAGTCTCCTTATTGGGTACACACAGCTTTTCAACCATGTCCTCCGGGCTTCAGCTAATCAGCTAGCCTTCCTGGACCTTGGAAAAGTCCATTATCTCCCACAAGTTCCCTGGGGAATAGGGCTTCTTTATGAAATATGCTTGAAGTTCAAAGACAGGATGGAGCTATGGAAGGTTTTTCTGTTGGTGAGAGTAGGAGTGGTTAACACAGGTGACAAGTTGAGAAAGAGATATTCTTTACGGTGAAGTTGTTTGTTCTAGAGGTTTTTTTACAACGTTTATGGACCAGGAAGGGAGTTTGAGGCCTTTCCAAAGAGAACAGATTTTCTGGAGGAGGCTGGTACTGGGGACAACTACCTGTCCATGAGTCTCAGATTAGTATCTCCAGCCCAGACCACCTGTCCCACAGATACAACTGCCTCCTGGGAAACTTAAAAAAAATTTTTTTTGCACATCTGTTTTAGCTCTCTGAGTTCTTGAGATTTAGCATGTCAAAATTTAACCCTTCATTCCTCCAGGCTTTCAAATGCATTCTTTGCCTGTTTTTCTTATTTTAGGAGATAACTCTGCCTTCCACTGATTTGATTCCTCTCTCCTTCTCACCACTCAACCTCAAACCACCCTACTTCCAGATGTCTCTTAAATCCATCCTTGTCTTTCCATCCTCACTGCTGTCATCCTAATCCAGGCCGTAATCTCATTGCACTTGAACTACTGTATATGCCCATCTAGTGTTGCTCAGCCTGGTGTTCTCTTTTGTACTCAGAATTGTTTCTTTCCTCCTGAAATGCGGATGAGATCATGCCAGTCTCCTTTTAAAAACTCTTGCCTAGCACTCTCTAGGGGCCTCTTTATCCGCATCCCATTCTGTCCTCTTTAGCACTCTCCCCTCAGCTTCTCTCTGCCACCCACGGCCCCACACATTTTCCTCCAGGCCTGCCAAACTACTTCAAGTGTGGGTTTTCTTGTTTCAATACTAATACCTTTTTAACTTTAGCCTTTGACTGTTTCCTGCGGTTTCCTAATCCCACTTACTTTTTCCTTTTATGTTTTAGGATACTGATACCTAATATGGACAGTGTTCCTCAAGCTTCTCTTTGGAAAAATAATTTTAGAATTCTATGGAGGGATGGATGGGTGTGTGTGTGTGTGATATTCAACATTTCCTCGTATGTTTGTTATTTTTTGCTATTAAGTTCTTTATTGGTATTATTACAGATTCTGTGTACACATGGAGACATCTCTATCTGTAGCCTCATTCCACAAACCACCAGATTTATAGAGACGCAAATCCTATTGTTTCATTCTGTCATCTGACTGACTTTCTGTTTGGTAATATTCTTGTTATGTTCTGCCACCAAAAGTCAATTTGAAAAAGGCAGCTACAGAGAAAGGAGAGAATGAGAGAAAGAGAGCGAGTGTGCACTGCATCCAGGAGGGCAGTGTAATAAGAACAGATTTAGAGATGTGACAGGAACTACTTGTTTTGGTATTGGTTGGGAACTTTTATTCAAATGGTATCTGTGGCTGTGAGACAAGACCTGTGCAAGTGAAGCAGTTCTCAGGAGGGGCAGGCTGGGCATCACCTGCATAGAGGGGAGGGGTTCGATGTCACACAGAAGGGTAGGACTCAGCTCTGCTTCGTCAGAGTGGCCCAGAAAGGACAGGGGTCAATGGGACATGTAGAAGGAAGGGTGCTAGTAACACATTGTGGGGGAAGGGACCGGTGAAAAGAACTGAGAGGCTGGGGGAGAGACTTGGGATGAATTTGAACTCCACGGAAGGTCTGCTTGACACCTGCTTTGGAATTCTTTTCCCTCGATGAGGTGGATGAAGCTCAGATCCCTGCTCATCTTCCGATAGGGCCGGCCTCAGTCAGACTGAGATTTTCATGCCTACTGACAGAGTTCAGTGGCTGTGATTGATGAAACCGCATTCACACTGAGGGTCCAGAGTGGGAGGAGACCCCCCTAGATGATAGACTTCTGTAGAATCCGTATCCTCAGATCTCTTGCCTGCACCTTCTCCTGCTGTCCAGAATCCCCACGCAGGGCGTAAGTTAGTTTCCACTACATCCATGTCCTCAGCATAGGATTCAGGCATCAACATGAATTGTATCCTGTTAACCTTACTGATGGTGACTGGTGAGTGACTGAGGGGATCTCTATCACAGTTAAGGAGTCTGTCCACAGCTGTGGAGCTGTGTTGGGGAAGGAGAGCTGGAGGGTGAAGGGCATGCAAGTTTGGGAAGTGGGTGATACATTACTCCTTTTCTCTACAGGCACAGTCATTTGTAGGACCTAAGTAAAACATTTTATTTTGGGCTTCAAACCTCCTGCCAATGCATGATAAAGTTCTTGGGCTAAAACATGGAGGCAAGCCGGGAAGGAATGGAGATAAGTTCCTGGACGGGTGTTTAGGAACTTATAAAAGACGTAGGAAACAGAGGAGCAGATATTCTGCTTTAAGGCTCAAAAGGAAGAGGTCAATTTTGCCCTTTGTATGTAATGTGCAATACGTAATGTGCTATAATAATAATAATCACCATCACCACCGCCACCATAAAAGCGTATACCTACATGGTACTTATATAATGGACACTGCTCTTTACATAGTAACTCATTAAATTTTTTTAAATTAATTTATTTTTGAGAGAGAGAGAGAGACTGAGTGAGAGTGTGAGCGCACACGCTTGTGTGTGGGAGACGGGGAGAGGCAGAGAGAAAGGGAGAGAGAGAATCCCAGGAGCCCAACAGGGGGCTCAAACCCAGAAACCCCTGATATCACAACCTGAGCTGAAACCAAGAGTTAGTTGCTGAGCCAAGTGAACCACCCAGATGCCCCTAACTCATTTTAATTCTTTAAACAACTTTATGCAATAAGTATTATTATTGTTTTTTTTTTTTTGATGAGGAAACCAAGGCACAGAGTAATTATAATGTGCCCATAATGAAGTTGGTATGCCTCTGTAATTAGGGATTTATGCTCTCTTACCTAGTTAGGGACAGATACCCTAACCTCTCTGAACCTCAGTTTCTGTATGTACAACATGAGAAAAATATCTATCTTTTAAGGACATGCAATGATTTCTATACCTATATTAGACTAAGTGGAGTTAACCAAGTTAAGTGGGGCAGGGGCTGGGAAGGCCGTTTTAGACAGAGGAGCCAGTAAGTGTGAAGGTCATGAGGTGTGACATGTTTAACTAAAAGACCATCTGTGTGGTTGGACTGCAGAGGAAGGAAGTAGATTAAGAATCATATAGTAGAAGGTCTTCTAGTTTTAATTTTAGAAATGATCTGGAATATAATAGGAATCCTTTAAAGAGCTTTAAATATATTACCACATTTATGATTTTAAAATATTCATGTGACTTCAGTATGGAGACTGAGATATGGGTTGTGGTGGGAAAGATCTGGGGGGAAATTTAAGAGACTGTTACAACTCTCAGGGCAACAGAGTGGACTAGAGTGGTGGCAGTGAGGATGAAATAAAGTAAAAGGGTTCCAGAGGTAACAAAGACATAGAAGTTGTGATCAGTTGAATGAGAGGAATGAAGGTAGGAAAAAGTAAAGAGTGTCATCCAGACTTCTGATTGGGTGACTGGTGGTACAATTTACCAAAATAGGGAACACTGGAAAAGAAGGAGGTATTTGAGGAAGGAGACAAGTTACATTTTTGACTTACTGGGTTCGAAGTGCTTTTGAAATATCAAATGGAGATGTCTACCTGAATACGAGGGTCAGGAACTCATGACAGGAGTCTGAGCTGGGATACAGATTTGGGGATTTGGGAATTTTGAAAGGATTTGAATTCATAGGAAAGCGGGGAAAAGATTGCTTGACAATAATTTACAGAAAAGAAATGTGTAAAAGATAGAACTATGAAGAATTCCAACCGCCTTTCTTGGTTTAAAGTTTTTAGTTTGAAATAATTATGCACTTATAGGAAGTTTCAAGAAATGTACAGAGGAGTCCCATGTACCCTTCCTGTAGTTTCCACCATGGTAACGTTTTTTATAACTGTGGCCCAATAAGAAACCATGGGATTGACATTGGTATGATCCACAGAGTTTATTCACCTTTCCCCAGTTTTACCTGTGTGTGTGTGTGTGTGTGTGTGTTTAAATCTGTGCAATTTCACATGTGTGGGTCTATGCCTCCACCACCATTTTCAAGACACAGAATGGTCCATCACCAGAGCCTCCTTCCTTATGCCCATCCAGCAACACACCATTTCATTCTCCCTCCTCCACACTGCCCCCCCCCCCTGCAAACCCAGGGCAACTACTAGTTCTCCATTTCTATAATTTTGTTGTTTCAAGAATATTATATAAATGGAATCATACAGTATGTTGTATTTTAGGATTGGCTCTTTCCACTTAGCATAATTCCCTAGAGATTTGTCCTTTATTTTTTTTTTTTTATTACTATTATTCTGTGGAATGGTGGTACTCTGGTTTGCTTAATCATGCATCCATTGAAGGACATCTAGGTTGTGTTCAGGTTTTGACTTTTACAAATAAAGCTGCTGAATTTGTGTCATAGTAAGTTTTTGTTTGTCTGGGTCGTAAGTCCAAGTTGCAATTTCTGACATATGGTAATTGTGTGTTTAATTTTATAGCATATTGTTTTTCAGGTTGGCTGCACCATTTTAGATTCTCACCAACAGCGTATAAGTGAGTGATTTGCTCTACTTCCATGCCAGCATTTGGTGTTGTCATCAAATTTCAGTATTTCCATACTAGCTGTTCTGTTAGATACATAGTAATACCTCATTGAAATTTTAATGTTTATTTCCCCATTGACTGAGGATGTTGAATATCTTTTCATATGCCTGTTTACTTTATGGATATTTTCTTTAGGGAAGTGTTTTCTCTTTTGTGTTTTGTTTTTTGCCTCTTTTATAATCAGACTGTTGAGTCTGAGAGTACGTATATGGATCAGATGCAAGTCTTTTCTCAGCTAGGAGGTTTGCACATACATTTCCCAGTCTATAACTTGTCTTTAAACTGTCTTCGGAGGGTCTTTTATAAAGCAATTGTTTTTAATATTGATGAGTATGACCAGGGAAGTTAGCGTTAAGTTGTTCCTTAAGTCCCCAGGTTCCTTAGGCAGTCTCCTTACTTCTTTGCATTTATTCAGAGTCTTTCTATCTTTGTTTATTGTGTTTTTTTGTGCAGTGGTTTTTAGTTGAGAAAGTGAAGAGCTGGGGGAAATGGGGCTACTCCTTCTTGGATCAAATGGAAAGGTGAGCTCTAATGCTTTAGGGGCTGCTAGAAGATGAGAGGTGGGTAAAGTACCTTATGAGGCAGGAGAAAATAAAAATGTAATTTACACCAGTCAGAGGAGGCTGTTTCTAGGAGGAGGAGGTAGTTAATGTGTTCTGTGTCTGTGACAAGTTAAGAAACTTAAGCTGCAGACAAACTGGAGGCAGATGTTGCATTATATAGAGTTAAGATTTGTCCAGTTGAAGTATGATTCAAGGACATGAGGACAAGGGAGTTCTGAAGAGTAATAACATCATTAAAATGATGAATAAAGGAATCTAACTCAGAGAGGAAAGGTAAAACAGGCAAGAACAGATTGGAATGGAAGGAAAGGAGGCAATGTGTAAGTTTCTAACACATTCTTAGAATCAGTGACTTTGTAAAGCTCAGTCAAGAGTGAGTTAGGACACTAGGTGTTTGTTGGAAGGAAATCTGAGAATTTTTAGAATAAATAACCCATATTTAGTTGGGGTTATTAGGAGAAAACCTGTTCCTCAGCTTTCCTTGGAAGTCCCTGTGGCTCGAAGGAGCTCTGTCTTGTTGCTACAGGTAAGAAGGAGCTAGTGTAGTGCATACTCCCTAAAGGCTAACCAGAGAAGGTCTGGAGACAGGGATAGATTGTGGGAATTAAATAAGACTTAGATTTACGCACTAGAATATCTTAGAGTAAGAAGGAATGTGAAGACTGTGTCAATGGTTCCCAACTTTTTTGAGCATGAGAACTCCTTTTAGTCTTAAAATATTTTTTTCTTTATTCATTCATTCATTCATAGTGCAAGTGGGGGAGAGGGGCAGGAGAGAGAGAGAGAGAGAGAGAAAGAGAAAGGAGAGAGAGAGGGAATGAATTACAAGTAAGCAAGTAGGCTCCACTCTTAGCATGTAGCCTGACACAGGGCTTGATCCCACAACCCTGGGATCATGACCTGAGCCAAAATCAAGAGTCAGATGCTCAACTGATTGAGCCACCCAGATGCCCCTATTTTGAATCTTTTAATGATAATTTTTGATTGATTTATGTAATGACAAGGTAAATTAACTATCTTTGTTAAAGCAATGTGTATCTTATTATTAAAATACTGTTTAACTGGATTTCCTGCCACTTTTACTTTTGAAATAGATCTTATGTCCATGCATCCACTGAGGTGCTCATCTCCAATTCCACCACTCCCACATTAGTGCAAGGTACATCACTATTTGCCAGGTCTATTCAGTAAGCCCAACTGTTTCTACAATCCATTTCTAATCAAAATCCAGTGATGTTTTAAAAAAATAATTGGATCACATAACTTCTGTACATTCAAATTCTTTAATAGATTTTTAGTACACTTAGAATAAAATCCAAATTCCTGACTATGGCTTTCAAGCCCTGCTTGACAAGGTCCCTGCCTCCTCTCAAGGCTCATCTTAGGCCAATCTTTTCCTTTCCCACTAGGATTCAATTTCCTTGGCTCTCTTCAGACCCCTGAGCATTCTCAGTTATTTCCCATCTGTGAGCCTTTCCAAATGCAGTTCCTTTCCTGAAAAGCTCTTTCTTCTGTTCTTCCCATGGCTGGTTTCTCTCATCTTTGATGTCTCAGATTAACTGTCACTTACCCAGCAAGTACTTCTCTGGCCAACCAAACTAAATTAGATCCGTCATTTACCCTCTCTTATTATTCTTTCTCATGGAAAATTCTATCTCTTCATAACTTATAACTATCTATTGATGTGTTTATTTGCTTATTGCCTATCTCCCTCATTTCATGAAGGCAAAGTCTACCTTCTATGTTGAATATCCTTTTATATTAACATCGAATATGTTGCCTAGCACATAATAGATCTTCAGGAAATATTTTTTTAAATAAATGCATGCATATATGAATAGGAAAACAGTAC